GGGAGAAGACTGACGTTGCATGGTGTGATGTGAAGATTGAATGCTGAAGCATGTAATGCTGTGAAATCATTTTCTCTCTTATTTAAATGGGTGATGTCCTTTTTTTAAGCTATAAGGACTGTCTTCATTCTTCTGTACACTGCTACGTATCCACCATTGTATTTATTTGATGCTCATTGTGACTCTTCAGCAATATTTTTTAAGCTGTGGCAATTTTTAAAACTTTATTATTTAATTCAAATTAACAAAAAATTACAATGTAATAATCGATTGTTCACCTGGAATGTTATAATCCCCAAATGATAGCAAAATGATGAGAACAATCTCTCCCATCATGATTGACATAAAAATTGTGTCCAGAGAAGGGAGAAGAATACCTAGAACGGAGGAGGGGGTGCATGAGCAGGCTGACTGGCTCTTCTCTACACAAAGATTTACTTTTGTAGTTTTTTATTTCACATTGTTATATATTAACAACAAGCCAATATAATATAAAAGGCAATGTTACTTGAACTGTATGTAACCATCATTTTCTTGTCGATTGCTCTTTCAATTTACACGCTATGGTTCGAATCACACATTCTAATTGGCAGTCCCCACTCCTTGAATTGGCCTCATCCCCACCCTTCAATTTTCAATTGAAGCCACTTGAGTGGCTCGCACATGGCTCTCTTGGTCAGAGAAAGTGCAAAACACTGTGCAGGCCTGCCGTAATAGGATGAGAATACTTAGATTATTGTTTAATTTTATGCTGGCTTTATTATTAATGTGAGCATGTTAAGTCATCTTACTTTATTTGGAATATTATACATATTGAGAAATTGATTTTGGGTCTATTGACCTAGTCAAGAGCATGTGTGTAATCTTTGAACATTTTGAATAATAATCTTTTATATTATTTTTTGTAATTCTTTCTTGAATAAACTACCTGCACGCTTAATGTGTTCTGCTGTGATGTTGTCTGAGCCTATTTGCCTTATTGATTTTAAGATTGTTTTTTAGTAATGAATAATTTTAAAAAAATCATTATATGTTATCAGCATGCTTTCATGTTTTTCTGCTTCATCAGCTACAGCTTTATTTATCTCTTGACATTAAAATTATTTATATTTAGAATACTTCAATATTTTTTTCCATCTTTGCACAACTTGTGCCTTCTGCACTAACATATTGCCGCCTTTATCTTTACAGAATGTGGGGCTGAAATTACATTGTTGTTTATTGTACTTATTTCTACTACCTAAAATGACAAAATGGTCTAGTTTCTTTATAATTATCTTCTGTGCCGAGTACTGTCGTAGTACGTGCTTGAGAGATAAGACACAAGTAACATAATGTGTAGTAACGAATACAAACGTGTGTATGCAATGCATTCAATAGAACCTGGAAAATGTATATACGCAAACCTGAAAAGAAACGGATCCCAAAACACCAAATTACTGGTTACACTGCGATGTTTGCCAGAAAAGATACGTGTAATACCAGGGACATCCCAATATGTGTATCTTCATCAAAAGTTTGCGCTCATATATTTTTGTTCCTTGTTGTTGACAACTTGTCATTATGGCATATATTAAACAATTTGTTGATTTGTCAGTGTAATGCTCAATATTGTCCATAGGTCACACTCCAATACTTTATCCAATGCATACTTAACAATAATTCCAGTGTTTTGTCATTTCCTTTGTGCTATCATGGTATTTTCATTTATTTTAAGAGACAATTGACTCTGATCACCTTTTTCTTTTCTTTTTGCAGCCCTGGATTTCAGCGTTTTGTGAATGTTCTGGTCAGCATGTCTGCAGAGGAACGTAAAGCTTTCTTGCAATTTACAACTGGCTGCAGTTCACTGCCCCCAGGAGGTTTAGCAAACCTTTATCCACGATTGACAGTTGTTAGGAAAGTAGATGCCGGAGAAGGAAGCTATCCATCTGTGAATACATGTGTGCATTACCTCAAGCTTCCTGACTATCCAACAGAAGAACTATTGAGAGAAAGACTTTTAGCAGCCACACAGGAAAAAGGCTTTCACTTAAATTAGGTAAGCATATTTTTATGTATTTTCATAGTAATATTTTTTGGTAATTTGTCACATAACACACTTATATACTTCACTGTCAGTCAGAAAATTCAACTTCAGAGATGAGGGTAAGACCGAGAATAAGATTGGATTCATATTTCACGTAAAATTGTTCTTTGATCTTGCCTTCTTGTGTGGTATTTTTTGTGAGTAAAAATAATTTTCAGTTCCAGAGTATTTTTGTTGTAAATTAAATCATGTTGAAGTCAACTAAACTTGTGAAACTGATCCTTTATAAAAAGTAAATATATTTCAGTATAGATTTCTGCTAAGTATAACCTAACTCCAATGCAATGACATTTACTATTAAAACTTGGAAAAGCACTGGTTGAACACTATCACACAGATCCTAGCACTACACTTTTTCAACTGCAAAATGAGACAAAAGACTTTCAAATCGAGAGCAAGCCCTTGGGAACAAACTCGTTCACTTCAAGACAAATCGCATTGAAATTGAGACGTATAATTTTTATATTGAGTCCAAACAATTTCAAAATGAGAAGTAAACAGGCAATTATTTTTGTTGACAAAAACAGGTTGTCATTGTGTTCTGTTTAGTTGTTAAAGACAGTTTCTCTTGTTGATTAATTACGGCATATATTAAAAAAGGGAAGTATAAAGCATCAAACAGCAAATATGTGCTTTATTTAACAATAATAGTGGTTGGAGAGGTCTGGCTAATGCATTTTTAGTATAAAAAAAATTTACTGCTTATAGATGGGTGAAGAACCAAAACGAAAGCAAACCACGGGGTGGAAGGAGAAAGGTAAAAATTTCGGATTATTGTGAATTAATTATTGATTATGTTGAAAAGAATCTAAGGCTTAAGGAATCTGTTGATATTTTTCTATTTTGTGCAGTTTAATAAAATGTGTTCCTAATTCTCATCCCTTTCTTGTTTTTTTATTTAATTTCCTTTTTTCTTCATTTTAATGCTGTGAATCTGAAAGTGAAGGAGTTAAATGTTTTTCTCAACTTGAAGGTGATTCATCTCCATTTGAACGTGTTCGGTCTCGACTTGAATATGTTTGGTCTCAATTTGAACGAGCTTGTTCCCAATCTAAAAGTGTTTGTTCTCAATTTGAAAGTGCTTGCTCTCCTTTTGAAATTGAAAAGGTGTACAATCCTATGTGTTGAAGACATTCACTCAAAATCGGTTCTGGACATTAATCTCTGTTGGAAAACCAAGGCAGCATTAACATATCCTGAATTTATGTACTCCAACATAGCATGTCTCAACAAGAAAGACGAATTCCTATAGTACAAGATCAAAAGGAACATCATCAAATGATCGAGCTAACCGAAAACAGGCTAACTCTGGCCACCCCAAACCAAACTTGTCATTACTGACTTCAGAATATATTGCAGAGAAGCAGTCATAAAGAAGGTAGTATAGACATATCATCAGTGCACAAGAAAAGGGACACACTACAAATGCTTGTTGAACACGACAATGATACCACTTTCTATCTACAATGGTAACTAAACTAACATGATACAGGAAAAATGAAACCCCTGCCATCCTAGATTTAATTCTTACCAACAACTCTGCCTAATTCTCTTCTTACCCCAAAAAGAAAAATCTATTCCAGCGAAAGATTCAAAGAAAAAATTAATCAAAACCAGTTCAATGTCACATTTTGGAGAGGGGGGGGGGGGTTCAGTTAACGGGGGGACACTGCTGTCAAAACATAAATACAACTTTCCATGCATAAACATTCATTGTTCGAGGCCTCTATGATGTCTGTAGGGTGTCCTTCAACTTTTAGTAACAAGCAAAATGTTTGATGACTGGGGTTGAAACTTTGTTTGCTTTCCAAAAGCTGATGCTCCTGGACATCGATCATTTTAGTTTTCTCCAATTCAAATGTGGAGCTGATTTTGAGAAAAATTATCATGATTTGATTCAAAAGTATGCAAGAATTACTAATGTTTTGAAAATAACTGTACATGAAATCATTTAATAGGCTAATATTAATAAACTTTAAACTAGTGGTGGTACGAAGACGCGATACTTATATTATTGTAACAGTTACGTAATATTATTAATATATGAAAATTCCACGTATTTGAACTCGATTACATATATTTTTTTGGCCAGTCATGATATGGATTACTTCACTTGGAGATTTCCTCATTGATCCAACCCCTCTTCGAGTGTGCCCAACCAAAAATGTTTGCCCACATCGGGATTTAAATGGGCAGATATGAAACAAAAAATTTCAACTCTTGCAATTGTCAAAATTTGAGAGCTTTGAGGAGCAGCTTAGAGGAGACGGAAACTTGTTTCATAAATTTTGTGACCTGGAAGAAATTACAACCTGGCCCAAACACAATAAAAACATTTTTGTGAGATGATTTAAGTATAGAATTGAAGGGCTTGGTGAGAGACAATCACAAGCCACATTCAGGCTGTTTCTAGTAGAGCTCATACAAGCTTAGCGAACACAGAAAAATTAATGGAAGGCCAAGACAGTCAGTCAAATATTATTGTGCCATATGGCTAGAAAATGGAAACCTGAATGAAATAAGTTTGCACAGAGAGAATCATGGTATGGTCAACTTGTAAAACTCAAAATTGTACCTTTTGATCTCTTATGGGCCATTAAAATATATATTTTCAAACCTGCTCTTATTTTGGATTCAAATTATAGAGGAGCACATCTGTCAGAAATGATCAACATATAGTTTGGATGAGGAACAACCAGGTCTTCAAGAAAATACTTCTTGGGAACAAATAATAGAATTAATGGAATGTTCACAATGCTAATACATTTAAATTTATTTTCATTATTCATTTTGAATTCAATAGCTAAGGAGTAGAGGTGATTTATTGTTATTGTTTTTATTATTATTATTATTATTATTATTACTATTACTCTTGAACTCTCCCAATAACTATTGCTTTTTTTCGTTGCAGAATTGCATTCGTATCTTCATGGATTCTTCAAGTTTGATGTCTACATTGCAATTCATCTCTGTAACCTATTTTAAGAGTTTTGGTTGTACCTTCAAGTCACAGCACCCTTTGCAGGAAGAAAACTCTTTCTGCAATCCTCTTTTTTTTTTTTTTTTTTAATACGTGTATTATATATCTAATTTATTCAATTTTCCATGCATTTGTACTTGTTCAACTTACTGTGAATTAAAACAATGTTGATCTCTGGAAGAACAAACTTTTTGTTTGACACAAACAACCTAGAATGAATGAAGAAATACATCAGAAACTATCAATCCGAACTTCTTAACCGAAGCTTTGAAAACATCAATAAACATTAAATGTAGTGTTTGCAAATGTACTTAGATAAAAAGGAGTACTGGGCCACAGAAAATTCCACAGGAGTGCTTTGAATATTATACTTTCTAGCCTTAAAAAATTCTATCTCATCTTTTAAAGTTAATTATTTCTAATAAATGACTTGTTTTAAAAGCTCCATGCTCATAATTTTCAATGGTTATTAATATTTCAGAGCATGCAAGACAGATGATGAATGTGGACCATTGTTCAGTCAAAAAGAGTCTCAGTGTACTGAAAATTGAAATGGTTAAATAGCTTACTTGTATATTTAAAAAAAAGTGACTCAAGATAAATAATTGTCATGTTTATTCTGTATATTTTTTCTTATTTTTACTTCACAATTTTATTGTGATTTTTTCATTGATTGCAAATGGAAACTTGAAATGATCAATATGACATGCATTACTTAAATGTGCTCGATTCATATTTACCAATATTTACTTTCATTAATATTTGTTTTTGTCACAAAGTGCTTGTGTTACAAATTGTTGTTCTGACAGTGTCTTGATGAAAAGCGTTGTATCAGTTCAAGTAGATAGTTATAGACTTGGGTGTACACATTTTTATTGATGATCTTGTAAAAGTAATCATCAAGAACGTTCAATGTACCATATTTTAAATATCAACATAATGTACAGATTTATGTGCATAAAAAATATAAGAATCGTGTATATGACTTTTTTATTCAACATGAACCGCAAAGTGTTAAATTCATTAAGATACCCAAATAACTCCAAACCAGAAACCTTCATCACGATTGGTGCCAGATATACCCATGTATGGATCCATTCAGTTTTCAGGATGCACTAAATGGTTAGTATGTAATTAACGATCAGTGATATAGCATAAATGACCAAATAATAAAACAATACTACATGGTAAAACAGGAAATTCTGTTTATCTTGTATTGTTTGAACAGAAAACTTATAAATAGTCAACATTTATATTTTGGCTTATGGTTGATTAATTGATGCTTAAGTGAATGCATTGACAATTTTAATGTTATTAATATTTAGAAGAAAGAATTACATATGTAGGTAAAGAATTCACCATCTTCCCGTTTTTGTTTGTCCTTCCAAATATTGATATTAAATGATGATTACTATGCGTATCTTACACTTTAGAATAGTATCAGGAGATGGTCCTGAGGCTGTTAATGTTTGTTTTTTAATGCACAGACACAGGCATTCCAGTTGCACTTAGGGGGTGAGGTCAACAACTGCAGCATGATTTTCCTGCTTTATGTCATGCTGGCTTGCTCCCCACTCCTACCCCAGGGCCACCGTCGTCATCTTTTCACTGCTGACTTTACCCCTCTTCTATCCCTTGACATGATACATGTATTTGAATTGCACATCCTAAAGCAGCAAAAAAATTTCATTTTCTTCAAAACTAAAATTTTCCATGAGAAAATTGTACCAATATCACTCAAATAACGATGAGAGTCTACATTCTTTTTTGTCTATAATTAACCCACCATAGATTGACAAGTTTGCTCATTAGATTTGATTGATTCTATTAAAAGTTATAATAACTGTGGACACTTGATACTCCATCTACCTTCCTAGAAATGTATTAGGAGTACAACAATGAAGTATAGTGAGCTTTGGTTCCTTCAGTAGCCAGTGAGCCATTGTTTACGATGCTACTGCATAGAAATGAGTACCGTGTTCACCCTCGGTCATCCACTGTGGTATTTTTTTCATCGCACAAGTACTACTACAATATTGCAACAATATTTTTTTCTCACAATGCACTATATAATTTGTAAACCCTCCAGCATTGAACTAAAGAACAGAAAACTTTATCTATTTGTTATTATTGAAACATCATATCTATTCTTCAGATTAGCCATCATGATGTTTACTCCCCCTTTTGTGGCTGTTATAAAGTCAAAATCCATTACCTTTTTCTTGAATTTGGAAAAATTCAGGGTTGTTTTTAGGTACACATTTGTATACCTGAACTGTGATGTTATATTGTAGATGATTCTGAGACGAAACAAACTGCTTTGCATAATATACGTTTTTTCAGGGTCTGATTTCACAATAAATGCTATTGTATAATAAACCACAGAGGTATTGTGTGATTTGTATTCAGACACAGGAAAAGAGCAGAAGAGTCATGTCATGTGTCCTGATTCAAAGTTTCATTCATCACCAACATCTCCATTCCTTTGCAAATGAAAAGGCAGGTGTGTTGCTGATAATATTACTTCACAATGAAGAAATCTGAAGAAATTTCCCATTCTGCACCTTCTCAGAGGCTTCACATGCACGTAGTATTCAAGACCTTGAGAAGCTGAGGGTGAATTTCTTTATAAGCCATGCTTCCTTAAATTTCGATTTTTTAAATTATTTTTATATATTTATATCTGATTGATAGGGTCATCAAAATGCTTTAGCAGTAGAGCGTATATTGATATGCCAAAAATCAGAACTGCTATAAAAAAGTGAGAAAATTCTAAATAAAAATATATTGTTACTACTTGTGGTCACTAGAGATATTTAAACAACTGTGTGGTATCAAATTAAATGTACACTCGTGGGAACACTAAGTTTCACGTCGAAAATGTCTTGGCCCAAGAGGGTGATGGGGATGGTCATCCCTCCTTGCCGACAGCGCTACCTAATGTTTATATTTGAAACCATTCTCTAGATCGAAATATGAAGATTAAACTTATTTTATTGGAGAACGAATAAATACTTAAAGGTCCGTTGAGAGTTAAGTAGAAGTAGTACAGAGGAAAAAGACTTCCATGAAACTGAATTGACATTAATTTTTGTAAACATAATGTTGCTTTCAAGTTTCTTTGATATAAAATGTGTTGTTATAAGAGAAGTGTTAGGAAAGTGAATGTGCCAGAGTGTTGTTCCAGAACTTGTGAAACAGGTGGTTCAATTCCCAGTCTACATAGGTATTTCCATTGTACAGTGCCGTAAAATCCACTGAAATACATCCTACATTTGTCTTGACAATGTTATGCATAAAGCAGTCTAAATTCGCTTTCATGAAGGCAAATATTTCAATACTGAAGAAATATTAAATTAAAAATGTGCATTCTGTAGTGTGGAGATAACTCTGCATTGCTCATGCATTGTTTATAACGATACAGCTAGTGCAGCGGTGTTTGTACTGCCCATGGCTTTTTGGAGATTTCTAAAAGATTTCAGCCAGTGTGAGCAGAACCAATAACACCGAAATATTACAAATATTTTTTTTAATTTAAAAACTGATTAAAAAAATCCCCAACTCACATGGAACAAACAACATATGTAAAAATTAATGTGTTAGCAGATAACACTTACTTGAGGGTTCTATTTTCAATGAGACTTTCCATTTTAGTCTGTTTTGAGAAAATCAAGAAAATTTCATATCATTTGTTTAAAACATTATGTGCTAAATGTTTAAGATTAATGTCCTTGGCTAGTGACAGTAAAAACAATAATATAATATAATTCAAGAATCTGTAGTCATTATGAAGAAAATTTGGAAATGTCTCATTTTCAAATGTGTGTGTGTGTGTGTATATATATATATATATATATATATATATATATATATATATATATATATATATATATATATATATATGAAATAAACAAACTTGGTTTCATTAAATATTTTTGCAAGGGTATTAATTATTTCCTTTTCATTAGAATATTTCATGTGGCATTTTTCATCAAATGTGAAGATCAACCCCTCACTGGGGACTTTCACAATACTCATCATTCTCAGTATCAGCGTGGTCAATGTTTAGAACAGTTAGATTTCTATAGAGTGATAAATTTTAATTTTGATATAATACGGCGCCGAAACAGTGACACACATGATCTCTGATTGCTGGATTGGAAAGACCATTCTTACAACAAAATTAAAATTATGGGAATATCACATCCTGATAACTCATTATCATGAAGCCCCTTGAATTAAAAAACGCGTTTGTTGCACATTGTTATAGAACTACGCGTAATTGCAGCGGACCCCTATTGAAACCAATATCTCTTTTTTCACCAAAGGTGAAAAAGTCGCGTTTTGAAAGTAGATCCCTCAATTCACCAGTTCTCGCAATGTCAATTTTGCATTTATTTCAGTAGCATTGACATTTGATGCATTTGGAAATAACGCACTGGCATTGCCTGCATCCGTTTGTCATTCTTATCAGTACTGCGAAAGAAACAATCTGAATGTTTTCCGCATACAATTCGATGGCAGGTATTACTCGCGCAACTTTTCTTGAACGATGGATTGAAGATATGCGGGTAGAGTGGTGATATTAGTTACGAAATAGGCCACTACAATTCATGAAGCAATGCCAATCACGCGCGTGCGTGTGTGTGTGGTGTAAGAAATACCTGGTCACTCTCATTGGCTAAACTCAGTCGTAAGACTTTACAGGCAAATACCTCCCGCGTGCGCGATGCGTAGGTAAATTGAGAGGAAAAGGAATGTTAATATAATGCGCTATTATTTTTACTTTTACAAAAATAAAATGACTTTCATATCGTAGAGCGCCAAAATCGATCATGAAAATGCACTCGTAAAAAAAATCTCCATCAACAAGACGACCTAAGAAAAGATACATTGGGAAGAGAAACGCATATCAAGAAAGAATTCTAGCAACTCGAATAAATTTCCAAGTTCTTCAGTTACCCATTCATCACGATAAGTTCAATCGTTGTGGGGCAACAGTATATTCAGAATTTAAACTAAAACAAACCGCTATTTTTTTTCGGGGATGCACGAAACTGCATTATTCTCTTTATTTGTTATCTGTTCAACATTTTTGTGTGTATACAAGGAGTCCCACCAACTATGGGCCACCCCCATAATTTCTAAACGGTTCCTGATATCGAAATGTAGTTTTTGCTTAACCATGTGGAATCATGGAGCAAGTAATGTGCCGTAGAGAAATATTTTTAGTTTCCGAGAAATTTAATAATCTTTAAGTTTTTAAATGGAACCGTGTATTTATGTCTCTACCAGTAGATCATAAGTAGACGAATGTAATGATGTAACAAATGTTAATGTTTTGATAGTATTTTGAGATTAAAATTGTACTTTTCGTCATGTGATTTTAAATTAAATATGCAAGATTTCCCGTAGCAATACTTTCAACTGTCTCCTTTGGGGAAGGTTGCCCTCACGCCGGCACTTTTACGGCAAGGTCACGTTCGCCAAAAGCGACAGTTGCGACAGCAGCTACAGATTTTTTGTGGCACATTGAATTTAAAATCTCAGGTCAGAAAGTGTACTTTTATGCACAAAATGCTATCAAAATATTAGTAAATGTTACATCATTGCATTCCTCTTTTTATGATGTGCACCGTGATCAAAAGTATCCGGACACTTCCAAAATGATGTTATTGTGTGGTAGTATTTTTTTCTGGAGGGGGCTTGCACCCCTTGTTGTTTTGTGTGTCACTATCACGGCACAGACCATGTTTTAAACACCTTCGTGCTACCCACTGTTGAAGAGCAATTCGGATTACACGACAATAACATCCCTGTAATGGACTGTCCTGCACAGAGTCCTGACTTGAATCCTATCGAACACCTTTGGGATGTTTTGGAACGCCGACTTCGTGCCAGGCCTCACCGACCTACATCGATACCTCTCCTCAGTGCAGCACTCCCTGAAGAATAGGCTGCCATTCCTTCCAGCACCT